CATTTATATCTTATGTAGAAAAGATTTCAGCAGATAATTTTGTGTAAAGGTCAAATATTGTTTCATGTACACAAACCTGTTCATTATATCACTGATTTATGAATACAAGATGGTTTTATGTTGTTGCAGTAGATCCGGTATAGGAGGGGAGGGATGGGAGGGATTTTGGATGTGTGTGTTTTGTTTTGTGTTCTTGTTAGTTTGTTTTTTTCTGTAGTCTGTGTTAAAAAAATAAAAAGACTTTGATCAAAAAAAAAATAACAAAACAAAAATAAAAACCGGTTTTTGGTACAAAACGGCGGTATACCACCCAGTACTACCATAAATACAACCCTTGTCTGTCAGAAGTGGATCATCTGAAAAGGATAATCTCAGATCGTCTTTCTTTTAGTCTCCTCTCATCTCCCCTCGTCCAGTTTGCCTTTTCTTCTCACTCTATAAAGTCACTTTCAATAGAAACTGTAATTTCTCTGGCTGAAAACTCACTCCTCCCGACAGCTCATCACAGACTGAGGCTGAATTAAACGAGAGTGGCTGAAAACTTTCCACAGATGCATGACTTTGATTTCCTATTCATGACAAAAATGATCAATAGCAAAAATACTGAAGCAAAGAAAGAGAAAAGGTGACGACGGATCTGTTGTGTTAAACATGACTTGTAATAAATCTGAAAAGCTTTGGAAGAATCAGATCAGAGATGTGTTTCTAATAATAAATCGCTGATCAGAAGTTATGTTAAACTAATTAATATGTTTGAAAAATCCCAGCTTCTAGTTCTGAAACAACAATTGTCCACGAGACGAAGCAGCAGAACAAACACTTCAAATGTCGAGGAATTCGTTTAACAAACAAAAGTCCTCAGATTCCCCGACAGGGAAAACCATCGGAAAGCTTCCTCTGAGCCAGACATAACAAGCCGAGCTCCGCTGAGCAAACATCCAGCTGCAGCAGCAAAGGTCACATGAAGGTAACACACACACACATACACACAGACACACACTATGTCGCTCTATCCTTGTGGGGACTTTCCTAACCAAACACTAACCCTATCCCTATCCCTAACCCCTAACCATTGACTTCCATTCATTTTTTTGAAAATTTAAACCCTAACCCTGACCACAAACCCTAAGGCTAACCTCACAGGTACCTACCTGACCCTAAACTAACCTCACAGGTACCTACCTGACCCTAAAGTAACCTCACAGGTACCTACC